CCTAGAAGGTTCAAGTCCACTGAACACTGTCCTTTGATAGCGGCTTTAAGTGATGATGACGCCATGGATATGTTACCAGCTGCAGGTTTTATATGTAGACTGTGTTTCCTCACATAACCGAGAGAGATGAAGGATCCTGAGCTCCCCGTATCCATTAGCGCTGTACCGGCGCCATTTTTCCCGACTAACACGTATAATTCAGTCTGTTTTAGGGATCCTAAGGAAGCAGATGTAGTATTCGATATCAACATTGTCGCGAGTCTGTGAGAGCATGTTGCAGCAGATGTCATTTTTGGGCTCGAACGACACATTTTTGAGAAATGGCCTTCTTTTTTACATTTAAAACAAGTAGCATTTCTTGCTGCACACACGCTTCTATTATTACGAGGTCCTCCACAGAAGAAACACATATACTTGGTGTTAGCCGAAGCTGCACAACAAGCATTAATGGGATCCGTTGACTGGATACTGGTACTGGTATTTTCCTGAGAAACTGTACCTACAATTGGTGTTTGAGTGTATGTGTATGCTTCTGAATTTTTCTGAGCTGCATGGAGCGCTCTAGCTTGGTCAATGGCTATATTTAAATGCAGTATTTTGTTTTCGAGTAGCTGTTGTCGAATAATGTTTGAATGTAAACCTGTGATAAATGCATCTCTAACACAGTCGTCGCGGTTTTGAACCGCATCAACAGACTTAAAGTTACATTCTTTCGCTAGTAACTGTAGTCTTTGTACGTATTCGTCGATATTTTCCTCCACTTTTTGGCCGCAAGTAGCAAGTAAATGCCGGGTGAAAACTTTGTTCGGGGGTTTTATGTACAGTTCTTTCAGATGGTTAACAGCAGTATCGAAAGTATTACACTCAGCAATATATTCATATACATCAGAAGAAACACAATTTATCAGAGTATCAAGTTTATCTAAGTCAGTATGGATGTTGGGGTCCATAATTTTGCGTAGAAACGACGAGAAGCTTCGTAACCAGTGATTAAAATTCTTACTTGACAATGGTGTATTAGGAGAGGTGTCCAAACGTTCCGGCTTCAAGTATTTCTCCATACTGTTGAATGTGTTTTGTTAATTAAATTGAAATGAGTTGACAAGACAGGTTTTTCTTAACAAGGATTTAATTAACAAAACATTCCTTGACTGTGCGATTCGTCAACTGAAGAATGCAAGGAAGGGAGGTAATTACAATAACAAAATGCCAAGGGCAGATAAGTATAGTACAGATATATTCCTTTTTTATGTATATGTGTACAGACTTCTAATGAAAGATTGCAAGAGACTTACATTTGAGTGGAGCTCTTTGTTGATTTAGTTTAATCATTATATATGCCTGCGTGCAGTCAAGTAAGCCTAGGTTGTTTATATTTGCATTAATGTATAAACAATTACATATAATTAACAACATATTTTATTGCCTTAGAAAACTAAATAGAAAATATACAAAAGGAGGGAATGAAGGTGTGTGTATTGTGTCCTTACGTATTTGAAAAGTATTATTAAAGATGTTGAAAGACTTACATTTCAGAAGAATCCTTTATTGGTTTGGCAGAATTATTTTATTTTTTTTATCATTTCACCTCAAGCAAGACGGCAATGCTCTTAGTATGTAGGCGGCTACAGGGAATTAAAGTGAAAAAGAAGACTGAGAAAAGGGAAGACTGATGAAAGGACAGAAGATGTACGGGATTCAAGAAGATAGAAGATGGCGACTGACTGACGATACATTTAAATTTTTGAAGATTGTAGCTACCAGGGAAGCAAAGAAACAGAAGAAAGTTCCACAGGTGGGAAGTACGACAAAGAAATTGTTCTCATTTCACTCCCCATTTCTAGGGATATCATGTGTAGTTCTTATTTTAGTACTGTTCACTTAGTGTTCACTCCATTCAAGCTGTTGTTGCTGTAACAAAAGAGAAGCTATGGTGAGTGCACTCAAGCATGACAAGCAGCAACAGGAAACATTTCTATATTTTACAAAGAATTCTTAGAAAAGGAATAAATTCCAGTGACCGGCAATTCTATGGATGGAAATCTCTTGTCGATGAAAGATGGCAGAGGAGAATATACAATTTTTTTCAAACTGACAGAAAGGCAACAAGAGCTCAAATAACGCATGTTTATAGAAAATGATTTCTCAATGCACAACACAACGAAAAGTGAAGCAGATGAGCAACAGCATCAGAAGAGCACGTCGGATGCGCCCCTGTCAGTATGTCATCAGTCTTCTTTGTAACCGCCTTTTCAAGCCTGCTAATAAATTAATAAATGACCCATCTAATCCTTACCATTCGATTAGAAATCATAACTTGAACCATACTCTGACTTTGTAACGGTCTGACTAATCACTAACAAACTATAAACAAGCAATGTTCAAAATAAAGAAATGCAATAAACAGTTAAACGGTATAAACCATATCTTTAAAAATATTTAACATAAAACCTAAGCGGTGGATATATTTTGACACGTCGAAGTTAAATTCAAAATAATTATATAACAATAATAAAACTTTGAGATTTTCATTGGCTGGTTTTAAAATTCTTAAGAATAAATAAACCTTTGAAACAAATATGAATTTTCGTCATTCTAAAATCCTATGAACAATCGATATTTAATAAACATAGTTTTGCACAGTACACGCGAAATAAATCTTCAACTATATTCGTCTTGTTGGGGATGCGCAGAATGAACTAAGATTTTTGCTATGGTGTTAGAATATATCAGAAGGAATTTTTGTCAGGTTGCGTGATCTTCTCTTGCATCCACAACAATAAATAATACTTAATATAAAACAAGGCAAAAAATGTATGCAATCCAAACAAACAAATTATATGCATTTATATACAATACAAATATTATATACAAAATATTATTACAAGATATTATATTGTTATGTTTGTTAGTGTATCAAGATTTTGTTTGTTTTTTTGGTGTCTTGGTGTATTTGTATTACACTACAGTCTTTCGTAATTAGTGTTTAAACACCGTTATGTTCGTGTTCTTTTTGTATTGTTTAGAATTGAGTCATTCAGAAGTAATCTACCCTTAACTGTAAGTATGAAATATGTTCAATATTTACTTAAATTGTAGTGAGCGTTAATAATTCACTTTGGATAAGTAAAGTCTTGCGAGTTGAAGTTCTTTGTATTCACAGAGTAATCTTCGAGTCGAGTTTGTGGGTGAGTCAGTTGTGGTTTTTTCGCGCGGGAAAATTATAATCGCAAGTTACGTGGATTAGATTAGCGCTTCTCTGTGTTCGCTGGACTGACTGATTTATCGTAGATGATCAAAGAGAATGTATAGTTTGAGATTCTTGAATGACGAAGAAGTTGAACGGAAAGATTTGTCGTCTCAATTCGTCGAGACGGGAGTAGTAGTCGTCATTTTTTAAGCTTGAGTGAGCGGTCGAAAAAATGGTCTGCTGCTGATCTGCCCAGGTCACACGTGTCACACGTGCTTTGTTTTTTTAAAGAGGTCATGATCACGTGGGTGGCTCCAAAACGATTTTGCGCCAAAACTTCGAACCAATCAGAGGGCTAGATTTACGAATGAAAGTTGGAATAGTGCATTACTCGAAGAAGGTAAGATTGGGCTAATAGACGAGCCCAATAGTCTAATCTACACAAAAGACATCTTAAAATATTTTTATTCAATTAATAAATGAGATTTTTCACCAGAAATTATGTATGTGTACCTTTTTATAGTGAATGTCCGAGTTGAAAGTGCTTACATCATTTCCTGAAATGAGGATTAATATGTTCCTCGGCGAAGTTAATCAGACGCATAGTTTGTGGTTTCAATTCCAAAGAATCGACACTTCGACTTCAATTATTAGGCACGAGTCAGCAAGACAGTGAAGATAGTTCGGTGGTAAGATATCGGCTCACACAGTCTATGATTGTAGGTTCGTACCAGGTTAATGGCTATGCTACATTCTTCTTGCAACAGACCATGCCAACATTAGGTTTATAAATCAATAAAAATCTGTTCGCCATTGGGCCGTTTCTTCTAGTGTAGCGGTATGTTTAAGAAGAAATGAACTTGCAGTTAGATATTCAGTTCTGGCAAGAATCCCATTCCAATGTTTAGTTGTACTACAGGAAATCATTTATTGGTGGGGAGGGTCTTTTCGGCGTTGGATTTGCCGTTTTTGGCAAATCCAACGCCGGCAACTACCCACCCGACAATCGACGTGCTCAAACTCGCAAGAAAAACAGGGGACGGCTTTTCTTTCAGCCCAACTCGTGACCTACTTTAAGTTGAGAATATTCTGCACGCGACATGTTGATAAATTTAAACCAGTCCAAGGCTTTCGATCTCGTTGACCGACTTCACACTTGAATTCGTCTTCTGAATGTGGACGGTTCATGTTAACTTCATTCCTACATTAGCTGTTTGAAGTATCAGCTTCAGGTGAATATTAGAGTCAGCTGATAAATTTTATTTTGTTCGAATTTGGACTTGGTGAGTCAAAACTTCACAATTACACAAGCCGAGAGAGGCAAACTTGAATTGAAAACAGGTCGGTATATATATATATATATATATTGAAAAAGAAAAGACTTACCTAGACAGCTCAAGGTAAGATACAGTGTTTCTGTCTTATTTAGGTCTCTGTAGAGTGGTTCATGCATTATTATTTTAGTTTTTAGTTTCAACACAATATTATACAATGTATTTTAAATGATTATAAATATTTAAATCATTCGGTATTTTATTATGTTTGAAACAATATATAGTGCACTAATTAAGTTAATTTATCTGTTTTCTAATAGTAGTGAATTTTCTTATTAGTGGCAATACGCATCAAAATTGTCATGTAGGTAAAATTCGAAAACTAACCTACTATATACATCAAAAAAATTACGATTGTAATTTACATTCGCACACCTAAACCCATAAAACTGCAAAGATGTGAGTTACAAGAGTTAATATACTTTTTTATTAAAATTTAATCATTGCGTACAACCAGAGCTGTGACTAGGTCCCCGATGAAGATCTACTCCTTCCACAGACACCCAGTCTCAGCTAAACCGCCATCTTGTAAAAGGAAACTACAACAACAACAAAAGAGGAGATCACTCCAAACAGACCTCCTTTTATCTATAGAAAAGAGGAGACAACTCAACAGTCTTAACTCAGATTAACATTGTTGGTGTCTTCTTGTGAAAACTAGAGTTCCTAAAAAAAAACAAGAAAAACAACAAAACAAAACAAAACAAAAACAACAAAAGCAATACAAATCTTAATTGCAACAAGTCTCTCAGAATTTCAGAAGCGGCTCCCATCTTCGTCAGACAATCTGCAACCTGTTCTCGGCCACTGATCCATTCAGTTTGAATTTCCTTCTTCACCATCATTTCTTTCAATCTGGCCACATCAACTCTCAGACGCCGGTCACTCACAAGATTTGATGAATTTAAAGTCTCTACCAGAGATGCATTGTCTGTTTTACAAAGAACTTCAAGCAATCTAGGTAGCCTGAAGCATGGCGGCTATCAATATACCAGCATCAGCTGCTTCAGCAAGCGCAAGAGTTTCGGAGGCTAATGGACTTTTTGTTCCACGCTCAAGTTTTTTTGATGACCAGCATATAGGAGCCATTCTGTTCATCTTGCCACAAACAAAGATGATAAAACCACCTTGTGAAGATCCATCCTCCAAACTAGTATAGGTGGCATCTGAATAACAAATAATATTCAGATCCGAAGGTTTCCCAAGCTGGGGAAAAGATATGGAACCTGTCCTTGATTTTAACTTTGTTAGTGACTTGTTTGCCTCGAAGAGCAACTTCACCTTTGGAGATTTTCCAATATTATTCATTCTACACACATCAAACGATACATCTGGTCGAGTCTGGGTGGATACCCACATCATTTGGCCTGCCAATCTCTTTAGCTCCGTCTTCTCATCGTGACTCAATTCATCACTTTTCCTTAATGATCTTCCTTTCTTTATGCCTATTGGGGATATCGCTGAGGCATATAGATTTTGATTATAATAATCCCATTTTTTGTTTGCTTAACATTCAATCCCAAAAATTTAAATGTTCCACTTTCATGCTTTCCAATTTTAAATATATTTTTCAATTCTCCGATCACATTTTTCTGAAATAGATCATTTCCACAGAATATGAAATCATCTACATGTATTGCCAGAATGCCTATCAAGTCACCAGTGGCATTGTGCCAAAGAAACAGTGCATTGTCGTATGCACTCTCCATTCCCTTCAAACGAGTTAACTCATGATTAATTCGCGTGTACCATGAACGAGGTGCATCATTTAAACCATAAATGCATCTTTTCAGCTTCCACACCTGTGATTCTGGACAAACATCAGATGGTGGTCTAAGGAATACTTCTCTTTCCAGCATATTACCTTGAAGAAATGCTGAGGTAAAATCAAGAGTCTCCACCTGCCACATCATAACCGAGGCCGTTAACAATACGAGACACATGGCCTCTCGGCTGAATGTTGGAGAATCTGTTTTTAAGTTATGAGAATCTTCTTCATAACCACGTGCAACAAGACGAGTCTTCATTATCTTTTTATCATTCATAATTTTTTCTGTTATCACCTATCTTGTTGATATACATTTTTGCCCCATGTCAGGCACACATTCATATACTTCATGAACTTTCATATTTTCCAATTCCTTTTTCTTTGCATCAATCACATCTTGTCCTTATTCTTGTTCAGAAGTAAGCAAAACTGCATGTTCCTGATTACTTATTCCCTCTGTTACATGAGAAAGTTTTCTCCATTGATCAACATGATCTCAATTGACACAAAAAGGATCTTCATTCTCTGCTTCTGGTTTTATATTTAGCCAATGGCTATATTTTCCCGTTGACTTTGGTTGTGTGCTCATAACCATTCCTTTCTTCCACTCATCACTCACTCTCAATTTATATTCTACAATTTCGTTTCTACTTGGTTTTATACTGTAATCTTTCACTTCCTTTCTATTGCTATTAGAATTGTTGCTATATTGTCCTTCATCTTCCTCCTCCAACACTTCATTCATCTCATTTGAAGAATTTGTATTTTTTTCATTCCTTGGACTTCACAATTCCTTGTCTACCTTCATCAAGTGACATGGATGCATCCTGAAAAATGCTCCTCCGTGTCTTATCAATACACATTGACCTTCTTTCCCCAGAACTTTAGCAGGACCACGCCATCCATTGTAGTTTTGTCTTCTATAGTAGACACGGTCACCTGTCACAAATCCGCATAAGTCTTTACATTATATCTCAAGACTCTCCGAATTCTTTCACTTGATTCGGCTTCCATGAAGCTTTTCCTCGCTGTATGGAGGGCATTTAGATTTATTCTAACCATATCAGTGGTTGTTGCAGTTTCCAATGCAGGTAACCGATCATTCAAAACTGATGGGGGTGTTAATATTTGACCCAAATACAAGCTCATTTGGATTATATCCAGAATGATTTTGAAGTGCATTTTTGGCACTAACAGCCCAAGCCAAAGCTATTTCTGGCTCACATTTTTCATCATCTGATGTTTTTTCCATTGCTTCAGCAATTATTAGATTATGACGTTCTACAGTACCATTGCTAAATGGACTTTCTGCAGCTGTCATGCATGTTTCAATATTCAATTTTTCGTTCATCTGTCGGTATCCCTCATTATTAAACTCTCCTCCATTATCACTTAAAAACCGTTTGGGAGCTCCAAAATAAGATATCCACATTAAAAATATGTTGCGAATAATTTCTTCGCTTTTCTTGGTCTTAATTAATCTGGCAGCAGAGTATCTATGTTGATATTCCTTTAAATCCAAACATACAGTGTCATTAAACCTGTTACCAAGAGCCAATCCTACAACTGGTCGAGGAGGGGGTCTTCTAAATCTTTGGCAAACTGAACAAGAATCACAAACATCTTTTATCTGATTCAGAAATTCCTTGTCATAAAATGCCTTACTACCTTTAACCAAAGCTATTATTTTTTCTTTCGATGCATGAGCAAACTGTCTGCGTAATTTCTCAGCCTTCCTCCTTTTTTTCCACTCGAGAACATCCTTTTAAAGTCTTACAATGTAAGACTATGCTTGGTGCATTTTTAACTTCCAAAAGTATATTAGTTAGTGGCAGACTATAATGTCCGGAAGTTGTTGTTTGCAATTTAATGTCTGCCAAAAATGCGACAGCTGTCGTTTTTAAAATTTAGTAGTATTCCTGCAGTTTTCATTGATTTGTGACTTAATAACAGGAGTATATCATTTTTGATGATGTCAGCCTCAATATAACCTCTGATACCTCTGATACCCCCTATTGTTACAGGAAACTTAACTGTTTTAATAGCTCTTACCTCCACTCCATCTCCAAAACAAAATATTCTGTTAGATCTAACAGTTTCCACCAACCGCTTATCTCGGTCATTTAATGTATCAAAGAATACATTAAACCAAATTTCTCCAGCAACAGTTCGTGAGCAAGCAGAGTCCAACACTGCCATACCCAATGTCTCTTTCACAAGTTTGGACATTTTTACATTGGAATAAGAGTCATTTATCAATGTTCGATAACATGAATCAACATTAAACAAAGTAAAGTTCACCTGGTCTGTATCCACCACAGTGGCGTAGCTAGAGTAAACGTCACCCGGGGCGGTCCGCTCAAATGTCACCCCAATGACCCCGATTCACCCTATGCTGAATGGTTAACTGTAGCTAAATTTTACATGCTCTGCATCTACTTTACTATACTGACCGGTACGTTACTGTTTGCATGTATGATCCAAGACAAAATCCAATACCACAAAATAATCAGTTCAAATCAAAAGATTTTTAAAATGCAACTGTTCACTTTCAGAACAACTAAAATTTTGATACCAACTAATGAATACGAATATCTGGATGAAGACTGTCACTTTGTAAGGTCATCTAACTACAACAAAGAGTTCTTTGAATTCTTTGATCTTGTCGCAGTGTGCCCAACCACCACTCCCACCTTTTCTTAAACAACCCCGGATATGCCTGCCGGTAGAGAAAGGTCACGACCCTTGTGTGCTAAAAATAGCAACGACATCCTTTCAAACTGACAGAAACACACAAAACTCAATTTTCGCCACTAAACAAAAATAAAAGACCTTTAATTTCGAACCGAAATTAATTTAAATACAGTCAACAAACACCGAACACACTTTTGACTGTAATTAATACGGCCCGAAATTAATTATATTCATTTACTTGTTTATCGTCACCGCTTCTCTTGTATGAACGGTCATATCTAGATCCCCGAGACTTCGCAGCGGTTTTTAGCCGGCCACAGAAGCAGCCCGGCCGTCGGGCTGGGTTGCGACCATGGCAAAGTCTAGTTTGGACCATATCAGGACTAGCTAAGACTAACTTGTACCAGAACTTGACTAAGCTTTGACCAGCTTGGACATGTTATGACCAAAACATTGACTAAGCCTTGACCAGCTTGGACATGTTATGATCAATCTTTGACCAGTGACCCTATGCGGAAACGGTTGGGTTTTCCCACGAAAAACGACTTTGTGTCACATCTTGACCCCGTGGGAGTCAAGTAATCCCACGAAAAAACGACCTTGTGTCAAATCTTGACCTCGTGGGAGTCAAGTAAATACCGCCGACCCACGGAAGCAGCCCGGCCTTCGGGCTGGGTTGCGACCCATGGCAAAGTCTAGTTTGGACCATATCAGGACCTGCTAAGACAAGCCAAGACCAGAACTTGACTAAGCCTTGACCAGCTTGAACATGTTATGACCAATCTTTGATCAGTGACCCCATGCGGAAACGCTTTATTCCCACTTTAAAAAACGACCTTGTGTCACATCTTGACCCTTTTTGAGTTAAAACGACCTAAATACCGCTGGCCAGGGAGCAGGAAGCCTTCCTGATTCGCGACTTTGACGCCCAGTCAAATCGACCAAGCCCAGCAGCTGACGGACCCAGCAGCAGTAGCAGCAGTTGTTCAAACAGTCCTTTTCAGGGCTAACTTCCCAGAAAGTCATTCGATTACCACTCTTCAAGGCTCCACTCACTTCACTCTTTGCTACTGCCTTCCCTCTGAGACGCCAGCTCACTCCTGCAGCTTCCAGATCACTCCTGCAGCTTCCAGATCACTCCTGCAGCCTCCAGCTCACTCCTGCAGCTTCCAGCACTCCTGCAGTTTCCAGCTCACCCCAACAGCTTCCAGCGGCCTCCAGCTCACCCCTGCGGCGCTCTACTGACGTCCCGCTACCTATTCCAGTGCCCACTGACGTCCAGCGCCCATTAACGTCCGGACACCGTTCCCGAACAAACGACCTCTGTCGTCTTACCATCCACCGTTCGCAAATAAAGACACGATTTCCATCGTCTACAACGGACCATCTGCGTTTGTCATCCTTCTTTGCTATTGCCATCTCCTTGCCTTTGTGTCCCCTATTTTAGTTGTACGGTCGATTGGCACTCACACCTCTCAGCCCGCTGCAACAATCTGAATGACCCAGAACTCAGTGCAGTTTCATCCATAAAAATAGATTATCTTAACAATATAAATGAATGAATTTAAAATATTCAACATGGATAGAAAATGCAAAGCAGTTTACTATTTTACTACTTATTTCAGGAACAACATCAACAAAACCAACACTAAAGTTAGCAACACTCCTTTTTAGATTGTATAATCATATTTTATCATAATTACAGTTTGAAATTATTCATAATCCCCTTTTCCTGTTTTAATGTGAAATAATTTCTTTAAAATCATTTTGTGTTAATCAACATCACTAGTTTTCAGTTTTTTTCCTCATTAATTGAACCAAATATACAGAAGCTTATTGCTATAAAAGAAATTAATTTCTTTCATGCAGTTTGAAGATGTTGACAACATGATGGAAAAATAAGTGAAAAGATTGTTAATCTTCCAAGAGGATGAACCTGTATGCCTTAAAAATTAACATTCAAGATGTCAGTTTTTGCCTCGTGTCAAATACTGACCACACATACTAGTGGCAAATACTTCATCTACCAATCAAACCTGAAATGTTGATTTATTATAATTGAACAAAAACTTCTGGATTAAAAATAATAGTCCCAACAAATGAGTGATTTCTACTATTCTTCAAGATTTTTGATAATTTTAAAAAATCATTGACAAATTTGTGATTTATTTAACAAAACTGAATGAATAAAATTTACTTGTTATGATTGTCAGTGAAGTTGAAACTTTCTGTATATCTATTGTGATGGACAATCTCCAATTAACCAAACCAAGGCCCTGTTACTCTTGTGTCAAATTCATCTATAGATGCCTGAAATTGAGAAAAATGAATACAAATATAAATAAATATAATGATAAATTTTGGATTTTTTCATTATTTTGTGAAATTCTAATGGAAACCATTAGCATTATTCTTGAAGATGTTTGAACTGATATTCTTATCTTTGTTGGTTTTATATTTTTAATTGATGCATTTCTCTAGTCTGCTTTGGATGAAGCATCCAAGAGTTGATTAATAGTTTCAGATTTGGGGATTGGAGATTCCCACAGAAATCACAAATCTCTATTTTCCTTTCATATATAAAATAAAAAAAAAACAGTCATTACCTGACAAACATTTTCACAAGATTGAAAGTTGACTGACAAAAATAGTTTTCTTATTTTTATTATTCATATAGAATAAAAAAAAATCAAAGCAATAACATGAAATTTGTTCTAAAATACAATTATTCATTTTTGACCAAACAAAAGAATTACTGAAAAACCTTTTTCAGTGCCTAATGCTTGCCTATTAATGGTCAATCTAATCTGTTATAAACACAGTTATTCTACTGGTCACAGTTATATATTCTTGCTTTATACCATTTTGCAATATTCACAATTCAAATCAAAATTGATCAATCAAATAAATAAATTCAATAACTTATCAATACTTTATAACAATGTTAGAACTTTATTCCAATCAAAGACATCTTAACTCTGTTATTTTTTAAATCAAATCTTCTCTCTTCAATTTAATTTGTTAATGTCAATATTTCTTTATGTGTCAATACCTGTCATAAATGGGTAAAGAAGGAAACAGAAACAATAAACGCATGCATATACACACACACACACATATATATAATTTTTGTCAAACAACCTTGACGATATCTAGTTTATCATTATTTTACTTTAAAAATTGAGCTCAGGGGGTTCTAATATAACTGTAGAACTAGTTGTAAGAAATAAAATGGAGTAATTATGTTTGAACAACATTTCTAAAAGAGATTGACATGTTTCTTTCCAAACATTTTGAGTCATAAAATATAAAGTAACCATTTTCTGATTTATGAAATTAGCATTCTTTATGCTTGTCTCCACTATTCACGGTTTATAAGGCTCAGATTTAGAACGAGTGAACCATTTGTCTGGGTTAATTATTCTTTTGAGGAAGGCTGAAGAATGCATCAGTCAAAATGTAAATTCAATAGAAAAGAGAATATCAGTTCAAATTCTTTAAGTTTTAAATTTTACATAAAAATACTTTTAAATAAAAAATGAATTTAGTGTAGAAGTAACTGATATTCATATTTTAAATAAAAAATATAGTGTGAAGTAGCAGATTTTCATATTTTTGAATTAAAAAGTACAAACCTATATACAAATAAAATATATATAAAAAGTAATTATTCAGTACATTTTCAAATTTAAAAAGTAAAAATAAAAGTTTAAAAGTAGATGATTTTTATATTTTTAAATAAAAATGTAGAAATATTGTGTAAAAGTAGCTGATTTTCCTTTATAAAAAAGTAACAATCTAGTGTAAAAGTTTCATGTTTTTGTATATTTAAACAAAAGACAAAAATTCCAAAGTGAAAGATTATTTTCATATTTTTAAATGAAAACAAAAATCAAGTGTAATTATTTTAATTTTTAAAGCAAAAATCCATTGTAAAAGATCTACATAAATAAAATCAAGGAGCTTATTTTTATTTTTTTAAATAAAAAAAGTAAAAAACTACTGAAAAAGTAGCTGATTTTCATATAAGAAACTATTTAAAAATTAGGTTATTTTAACATTTTTGAATAAAAAAATTAAAAATCTACCATAAAATAGTTTATTTTCTTATATAAAAAATAAAAATCTAGTGTAAAACTTTTATTTTCTTATTTTTATGTAAAATTTAATGTAGTTTCAATTTCTATTCTGATGTATTTTTATATGAAAAAAAAAACCCTGATGTAAAAGTGGCTAATTTTCCAATTTTTATATAAAGAAATAATAATCTAGTGTAAAATTTGCATATTTTCCAATTCGAAAGAATAAATTTTTTTCTTATCTATCAACTATTTTACAGACATTTTTATTTATATAAAAATGTCTGTAAAATAGTTGATTTCCTAAAAACTATAATCTGGCAGAAAACTTTGCTGATTTCACACTTAATATATAAAAAAAATAATAAACTTATGCAAAAGCAGCTGATTTTCTTATATCATATCATTTTGAGATATAAAAATTTTTAAAAATCTATAAAAGTGACCGATTTTCCTATTTTCATATTGGAAAGACAAAATATAATGCCAAGTAGAATATTGTTCAATTTTTACAGAAAAAAGGAATAGATTTTCCAATTTTTACAGAGAAAAATAAAAATATTGTTTAAAAGTAGCTGAATTTGCTATATTTATATAAAAAAGTAAAAATTTTGTGTAAAGTAGATTTTCCTAATTTTAATTAAGAATTAAATCTTGTGTAAAGTAGCTAATTTTCCTATTAATCTTACTTATGAAATGCAGATTGTGTGTGTGTGTGTGTGTGTGTGTGTGTGTACGTTTATATATTGGATCGGATTTCCTACATTTTTCAACCGATTTCAACAAAACTTCGCAGGACTACGTAAAATTACCATGCGGTGGTTCTGACAGGGCCAAAAATTGGAAAAACACAATTGTTTTTGCATGAAATCAATTTGAAAACACGATTAAGAGGCATCACGAGAATGAAAGGGGAACAATTCATAACGAGTTATACTTATTATAAAACCCAGGTTGTTTGTGTGTGTTCATTTATATATGGGATCGGATTTCCTACATTTTTCAACCGATTTCAACAAAACTTCACTTTTTTTTTGGCAGGTAGTGTTTCTTATTGTCTTGCACACTTTTTTCTTTATTTTTGCATTCAGAATGCTTTAAAAATTCCATTTACAAGACAATTGTTTATAATAAAATTCTATTCAATCGGTAGACTCATAATGATTGAAAACAATGTTTTTGTTTGAATTTGGGTTTGACCAATTCGTAAAAAAAAAAAAAAAAAAAAAAACTAATCAAGACATGCATGTCTGTCAACCTTAAACAATAATCTTTGTCAATTTTATTTTTCCGTCTTTATGATGGTGGATACTTGATCTATCTCTTACTGTTACATCCCCGGGCAATGCCAGGCTCTACTGCTAGTATTTTATAAAATAGTCATAATATAATGTAAAAATAGTAAATTTTCTTATTTTTCTATGAAAAATTAAAAATCTTTTGTAAAATTAGCTCATTTTTATATTGATATATAAAAAAGTAAAAATTTTGCATAAAATGACTCATTTTCCTATTTTTATACAAAAATGTAAAAAAACTTAAACTACAAATATAGAGAAAAGTAGCTGAATTTCCAGTTTTTATAAAAAGTTATACAATAAAAGTAGATTTATATATTTTTATACAAAAAGTTAAAAATCATGTAAAATACAAGATTTTCCTATTTTATATAAATAAATAAAGATATAATATAAAGTAATAGATTTATGTATTTTTATACAGAAAAGTAAAAAATCATGTATAAATGCAGCTGATTTTCCTAATTTTACATGGAAATATAAAAATTTAATATAAAAGCAGTAGATTTTACTATTGGTTTGTAAAAAAAAAAATATAAAATCTTATAAAAGTAGCTGACTTTTCTCTTTTTACATAAAAAGTTATAGTGAAAAGGAGATTTTCTATTTTTATATAAAACCTATTAAATTCATGTGTAAAAGTAATTGATTTTTCAATTTTTACATAAAAATACTAAAGTAAATGTAGATTTTTCTATTTTCATGCAAAAAAGTAAATACCTTGTGTAAAAGTAGCTGATTTTCATCTTTTCATATAAGAAAGTTAAAATAGAGTGTACAACTAGTAGATTTACTTATCTTTATGCAAGAAATGTTAAAAATTATGTGTCAAAGTAGCTAATTTTCCTATTTGTACATAAAAATATAATGTAAACTTAATAGATTTTACTATTTTTATGCAAAAAAGATAAAGTTGTAAAAGTAGCTGATTTCCAATATTTTAATATAAAAAATTTTATGTAAAACGTAAAAATATTATGTAAAAGTCGCAGTTTTTCTTTATTAATCATTTTTAAAATAGCTGAATTTCGTATTTTTATATAAAATGTTAAAATATTGTATAAAAGTTG